TATTATATTTATTTAGAAATAGTATTGATAATTAGCCATTGCCTCGCGCATTGTTGCGGGTTGTATTTTTATATTATACAAAAACAAAAGTAGTTTATATGTATATAAGTAACTGATCACCCACAGACAGAGCAGAGAAACAAAAAGGGCAAAACCATAACTCTATTATACGATCAACAATAAAATAAATATGCGTGAACAGTGATCCAAAAGTTTCCTTTAGTGTATGTAATAATATATAATAACATAAGTAATTGCATTTTTTTCAACAAGGCAGAGACGTGGAGAAGGCAGAAGCATTAGAGTAGACAAAGAAAAGAACAAATAAGTAATTTGGAACTTTAAAGCAAAGAGAAGAAGGACAAAATAGGTTGAGTAAGATGTGAAATATGAAAGATATAGCCACAGCAGTTTTTGGACAAATCAAATAGACTTTAATACGTGAAAATTGAATATGATCATCATTGCCAATATACATATGCACGTCCATGTATGGGTCAGGAACTAATAAAGAAAACTCCCAACACAACATAGTCATTTATTTATGAAGCAGAAGATAAAGTAAACACAACATAGTCATTTATTTATGAAGCAGAAAACAAAGTAAACAGAGGTTATCAATATTCACTAAAAGTGAAATGGAAGAGTCTTCTCCTTTTTAGACGAGTGATATGCATCAATAGTGTAATACAAGTTCAAGTCAATGCGGATAACAAAGGACAAACAACATATATTAACACTACTATAGCAAATTACTGCATCCATTATCAGCAAAATTGGTTAAAAATGTATGGATAAAAGTTCTTAACAATACCTCAGGCGTTGCAAATAGCACCCCAAATGAGAAAGGTACACCAAGCAAGCACGAACGTTTAGAAAAAGGATAAGACAATAAAAATGCAAGCGGTGAATGATAGGAGGCCTAAAAGAATATACATGAATAAGTAAGCAAATGGACAAATAAATAAACATGCAAAGAAAAAGAAGAGGGGGGAAAAGGTTGAGGAAAGAAAAGGGGAAAAAAGAGAAAAAGAAGCATTGAAAACAAATTCATAAAACATGAATACTATAGTATTTTCACACAGTACTCATGGTTCAAACAATGAAATTTTTTATCAACGTGTGATGAACAAATAAACTTATGTCTTTATAGGCACTTTATGGCTACCTACTGTGGGCAACTGCATAAAGGCAACGAAAGATGATAAGATATTTGATTCATCACACGGATTATAACATGTATGCTACAAAAAATAACCAGCCTGAGTAAGATATCAACTTGTCCAACAACTACCAGGCGAATAAAGAGAGAAAAAGAGACAAAGAGAGAGAGAGGAAAGAAGAAAAAAATTAAGAAAAGAAAGATGTTGTTGCACGTATAAAGTAAACAAAAAACAAAAAGTAAATAAAAGAATAGGCTGAAACAAAACAGAAGGGGGGAAAAACAAAAGAAAAAGGAAAGGGCAAAAGAAAAAAGAACATGTTATACAGATAAGTAGATCTCAATTCAAATAGTAGTAGTAAAAATATTAGAAGTTGATAATAATACAAAATCATGGAAGGATACCATAGGAAAAGGAAAACACGTGGAAAAAATCAGGATTTAATAGTGAAAAAAAGAAACTAACATATATGCATATATGTATGTAAATAATTTTTGAATTGAATACTGATCCAAAAAAGGTAAGAGCATAAGAATAGGCAAAAAAAATAAGGGAAAAGAAACAACAAAAGACTCTAAATCAAAGGATGTAGATAAAAGCAGGACAAAATGAAAAAACTACATTCACGGCAAATAGACATCAATTGAAATAGTAGTAGTAAAAATATCAGAAGTTAATAATAATACAAAATCATGGAAGGATACCACTGGCAAAGGAAAGCACGTGAAAAAAAGTAGGATTTAATAATGAAAAAAGGAAACTAATATATATGTATATTTGTATGTAAATAACTTTAAACTGAATATTGGTCCAAAAAAGGTAAGAGCATAAGAATAAACAAAAAAATAAGGGAAAAGAAATGACAAAAGACTCTGAATCAAAGGACGTAGACAAAAGCAGGATAAAATGAAAAAGCCACATTTATAGTAGTTTTTAGACAAATCATATCAAACTCAAGGTGTCAAGGCTATTCATAATCATCATTGCCACGAGGGAATAAGAAAGGGAGGGGAAAGACGGTCAGGGGAACAAAAAGGGGCAACAAGAAAGGGAAAAAAACATAAAGGAGAATTAATTGTAAAACATCTAAAGTAAAGACATGTATCTAAGCACGTTGCTAAGAAACAAATAAATTGCAAGTAAACATGTCAATGCCATTAAGTAATGATAAAATAGTGAAGCTATAAATCAACGGAAGTAATAAAGCAAACAAAAAGCAAATATTAATGACGTTAGGGCAAAGTAAGCAAAAGATATTAATAGTACCTGGAGCACTTCAAATGCTGCTCTAACTATTAGGTATCAACCAACTACAGGTGAACACAAACACTCAAAGATAGAAGGATAAGAAAACAGAACAGTAAATGATGAAGGGTGAAATGAAACAAAGTGATCACGGGTAGAACAACAACAACGACAAATAGTCAAAGACGCAAAGGTCAGGAAGCAGAACAATAAATGAGGGATAATATAATGAAATAGTGAATGATGGGAGATAAAATAGAGCGGCAAAAACAAAAGAACAAGTGCAAGAGAAATAGACAAGAACATGCATTACAAATCCGTGCACTAAGGTCAAAAGGCAGCATGAACAGTAAACAACGTCTAATAATGTAACACGTAATATTGTGCACTGAGGTCATAAAAATTAGCAGATAAAAATTACCTGATTAAATCATAAAACCAATACAGCCTTAGGAATAATTTAAAAAGTAACAGGCTCAGAAAAAATCAAACGCAAGAAAGAGGAAAATGAGAGAAAAAAGTATAGAGGGTTTTTTTCCCCTAAAATTGCCAAGGATTCTAGATAATGCAAAGCAAAAATTAGTGGAGATTCCACAAAATTTAGAGAGAAAAAATCACCAATTCATTTAATGTGTCCGTAAAAAAATCAGTACAAATCATCAGCCCGACAACTGGGGAAAGCAAGTGGCTACTGTAAGCATCCCAACTCATCAATGCAATAAATGAAGAAAAGAAAATCAAGAATTACCCATACACGGCATGAAATCAGCTAAGAAAAAGTCCACCAATACAGATAAAATCTCTGCACAAATAAATCCATCAAAGGAGAAGATAACGAACCTGCATAGAATTTGAACTAAGCAGTATTAGTTAGCAAATAAAATACTATAATACATAAATATAAAGCATCAAAGGAAGCAACCAGAGAGGGGGAAAATAGGAAACAAAAAATAAAAAATAAGAAGTAACAAATTGGAAATTAAAAACAACCATGGAGAAAAAGCTCTAATGCATATAGAACAATTAACGAAGAAAGCAGGTGGGGGGAAGAAAAAAGGGAAAAAAAACAGAGCAAGAAACCGAAAGAGGGAGGGAAAAAATATTAAAAATAACAAACAACTATGAACAAAAAACTTTAATCAATATAGAACAACTAACGAAGAGATCATGGACATAAAAAGGGAAAAAAACCGGAAAAATTATGTGGAAAACATGTAACCCATGAAGAATGCATAAAAATCGAAATGAAGAACACAAAACAAGGCAAGGAAGAAGCAAGAAATGGAAATCGAAGAGGCGTGGACCAAGAACGGAGAGAAAATGGACCATAAATCGAGAATGCAAACGGGGGAAGAACCCTAAAAATAATAAGCAATAAAACCACCAAATTTACACCCAAATCCCACCGGAGGAACCAACACACTGAAACCAGAAAGGAACAACCGAAAAATTCCAACAATAACAAAGTAAGAGAGTAGAATCAAATCAGAAGAAGACGGGGAAAAAATGGGATGGAATCGGCAGAGAAGAAGAAAATCAAAGGGGGAAAGAGGATTAGGGCTCCACGGGGGCGAAAGGATGGAGACGCCCACGGCGGGCGAAAGGTAAAAAACGCTCACAATAGAGGCAAAATGAAAAATAAGAAAGCAGGGACAAAAGCGTCCGGACACAACCCGACACCTAAAAAGACCAAAATACCCACCACCCACATATAGATGAGGGGAATAAAAAGGGCAAAACCGTCACTCCACTGCACAATCAACAGTAAAATGAGTGTGCATGAACAGTGATTCGGAAGTCTCCTTCAGTATATGTAGGGGTTGTTCTTTTGCAATGAAACTCAGAAAAAGTTTGAACTCGAGTTACAACTTTATTCAAGTTCATGTTCTTTTGTAAAATTTAAGTTTGAACTTGAGTTTGAGGCTGAACTCGAGTTCAAGTTGCCCCTGTAACTCGAGTTCATAAACTCGAACTCAAGTTAATGACCAGCATTTTTTATGTTCTTAAAAATGCCATAATTTTTTCGTTTTAATTCTGATTGAGATGATTTTTTTCTATGCATTTACAACGAAAAGACGAATAAAACCTCACCTATATACTGTATTAAAATTTTTCATCACCATTGATTTTTTTATTAAAATACTATCTAAAAATAAATTTAAGTTTTGACTCATCCAAACACAAACTTAAAAAGATTTTCAATTCAAATCATAACTCAAATGTGCACATCTAAACATAAACTCAAGTTATAACTTTAACTCAAATTATAACTCAAACTCAACTTAAGATAATCACTCAAATCATTCTAACTAAAAAATATAAAAGAAAAACCCCGTAATAATGTCATCCATAATGAATGATTTTCATGATGAGTAGATATTTTGTTTTTGCTGATTTTTATTTTTTTATTATTTTTATTTTTTTTAAAGAGTACATGTTTCGTTTGGTTGAATAAAAAAGTAGAAAGTAATTGAAGCTGACTACTAAGGGCCTTTTGGTAGAGCCCACAAACACCTACTAACAAATTATCGATACTTCACGTTAATAAAAAGGGGAAAAACTTAACAGGGAGATGGAGCAATATAGCATCAATATCTGTGGGTAATACACATACTCAAACCCGAACATCACAGATCTCCGAGGTGGTCTTGAACTCGGACCAGTTCTCAGTTCTCCAGTGGTTGTGGGCCCCACAATTTGCTCTCAACTCCCTAAGCTTCTCTTCTCCTCCTCTCCGGTCTTCCTTTCCGATTCCCGCCGGAATTCGGATGGCGGAGAAACAGCTGATCGTCGCCGTCGAAGGCACCGCCGCCATGGGCCCCTACTGGCCCACCGTTCTCTCCGATTACCTCGAGAAGGTCGTCAGGTTTATTATTCGATCCTTGTCCTCTTCTCAATGCTTTTTCGAAACTCAATTTCTTTTGATAAATTTTCTAGAAACAAAATTGTTTGTTTGTTTGGAGTTGGGGCCCTTTTCTTTAATTTCATTTCCGTGGCTTGAGTTATTTTGTCTTTTGATTGTTGATTCTGGTTCAGATTTGTCGCTGTGAGGAAAACTCTTCCTCTGCTTGTACATTTCTACTTTTCTTTTCATTTTTTCCTTTCTTTAAAAAATTTTTGTACCCTTTCCAAAAAAAAAAAAAAAAATTGTTTGTTTGTTTGTTTGGTTGGTTTGATAAGTTACCGGAATTTGGAAAGAAAAGTCAGAATTTTGACGTTGTTGTCGAGTGAAAAAGGGGCTGATCAGTGTTAATTTGTTCTGATAACTGTTTCGTGGCTTTGGAATTCGATTTGATTCTAGTTCTTTTTTTTTTTTTTTGAGATTTGAAGATGCTGCTTCTGGTTTTGGAATTTATTCTTGGATCATAGAGTTTTAATTCAGTTTTTAATTTGAATATAACCAATACAACAATGTCATGTTTTTGATGGAGTTTGATTTAGTTTCAATGGAGGATTAAATTTACTCATCATAACTGTTGTCATATTATTAGGCATGACTCATTGGGAATAATCAGTAAGTTGTGTGTATGGACAGTTTCAATGATGTTGAAAGTCAATGATGTTGAAAGCAGTTTATCGAAATTGAAACCCTAGTAATTTTGCAATTGCTAGTTGTTAGCGTCAATTTATTTCCTAATTCGAGCTAGAAGACGTGATGGTGAATAGCCGGAATCTGTTTCATTTTGACTAGATATGGGAATCATGATTATACCTGCAAAATCTGTGCTTTTGGATTAATTTCCTTTCATGTATTGTGCGCCCGGTGCAGGAATTAGTTAACTATTTATTGGCTGTTCTTGAAAGGAAAAAAGATGTTTGCTGCTGTAGGATCAAGAATTGTAATTGTTATTAGTTGGACCTTCATAGTACAATACCGGATTGATATGCCACATTTTCTTTTGTGGCAAAGCAACCTGACCATGGTTTTGCCACTACAATCAAAATTTCTTTATGCTACATCATTCGAGTTAGTCATTCTCTAAATACGGGCTTATGAATTTTAAAAATCTGAGCTTCAAATGATGAAATCCATACAGGATGGTGGTTTTTAGATGGCATCGCAGCTATTTTAAAATAGTGATGCATAACTGGCAACCTTGAAAAGTTTAACTTTTGATATGGTAACTTAGCTTGGTTATATTTCTTATGCGTAATAGACACAATAAGTTAGTGGCAAGGGGCAGTTCTCCTTTACAGTATGTTTGGTAGGAAAGAAAAGTAGAAGGAAGGTGGAGATATTTTGGGAGAGAAAATGGAAATGTAGGTTATTTGGTGGGAGAGAAAAGAGAAAGGAAGAGAAAATGGAGTGAAAAATAATACATATGGGTCCCACCATTTTTCTTCTTTCCACAAGTGGGCGGAGAATGGGGTGAAAAATGGGGACAACTAATTAAAGTGAGTAAAGTTACTAAACTACTCCTTTCTCTATCAACATCTAAACAAAAAATTTAAGGGTATAAAAGTAATTTACAACTAAAATTTTTTCTTTCCTCCCAATTTAACTTCTAATACCAAACAAGTGAAGGTAAGCTCATTTTCTTTCCATCTTCTCATACCAAACAACATAAAAGAAAATCAATTTCTTTTCCATCATTGCTATTTTTCATCACTTTCATATTTTCTTTCTATCCTATTTTCTTTCCTTCCTACCAAACATAGCATTAAGGTTTCTAACTTGAGTTCTCACTGTTCAGTTTGCTTACTCTACTAGTTTGATTTTTTTTCCCCCGCTAAATTACAAATTCATTCATGTGTATGTGTTTTGACAAGAATTAAGGATATAGTTTTGTGATTGTGTAGGTGCTAGACGTATAGGTTAATATTACTACGTGTGGGAAAATACAATCTTCATACAGTTGTATTAGATAGTTGACTAGGAAAATCCCCTAATATGAGGGATTTGAGATAGGGTAGATTCTTGATTTACCGCTAGGGATTGATTGTAACAGCTAGGGGTTCATTGTACATATATGTAACCTTCTATGTAGAATATGAATCAATTGAGAAGAGCAATTTTTCATACTTTTTTTTTCCTCTAATTTTCCACATGGTATCAGAGCCTTCCTTGCTGAGCTTGGTTCTGCCTTCACGGCCTTTATTGTCGTTCTTCTCTGTCTTTTTTCCGTAGCCTTAATGGGCATCTTCAAAGAGCCTTCATTGCTCAAATTGTCAGGGTCTTCATTGCCCAGACGGTTGTTGTTCATTTCCTAGCACCTTTGATCTAGGGTTTTTACCGCTGGCTGACATCTCCGCTGTTGTTCGCGCACCATCATCAGAAGGGCTCAAATTGTCACCGCCATCTGCTAAAGCTCAGATCGTCGCCGCCATCTCTCCAGTTTGAATCATCGTCGGCATCTGCTATGGTTTGAGTTGCTACCATCTTCAACTCCGGTTCCGATCATTGCAATCGCCACCCTCTGCTGGGATTCTGATCATTGCAACCGCCGTCATCTGTTCAGAATAAGTTGTTACTCTCAAGTCGCGCGCCTCGGATGAAGAAGGAGAAGTCTGAAATTGTTTGAATGACAAATATAGGATATGTTGGCATTTTTTGGGAGAGCCTTTCTTACCGTTGACAACTCTTAACCTTCATTGTTGTTGGAACCACACGTCGAAAACAACCGAATATGTTGGAGAACTCTTAGGTACTTGCTCATTGGTACATTCAGGTAAGTTTTCCATTTTCATTGGATTAAATGTCTCGGATGTAACCTTTACTAATTCTTAGATTATAGACTCGGATGTAAAATTTTAAGAATAGAAGGAACTTAAGCCAGATAGATTATTTTCTCACCAGGTATAGAGATCGTTCTCTATGTAAGAATTGTAAAGTAATTCTTGGAGAAGCACTAGCCACCCAACATAGGTTAGTGATCTTAGATGTGAGCATTAAGCTTTGCTATAGAAGGATTAAAATAAACCACCTCCCACGAAATTGTTGGAGGCATTTGAAGGGAATAAAGCAATTGGCCTTTAAAGAGAAGTTGTTAAATGGGGCTACTTGGTCATATGTAGGTGATGTAAATACTATGTGGGATGTCATGGCCAGCTGCATTAGAAAAGTGGCAAAGGAGGTACTAGGGGAATCTAGAAGTAAAGGCCCCCCGGGAAAGAAACCTGGTGGTGGAGTGAGGAAGTTCAAAAGGCTATTAGGACCAAGATGGATTTATATAGAGATTTACCAAAGCGCAAAGATGTTGAAACTTTTAATAAGTACAAAGAAGCGAAGAAAGAAGCTAAGCGAGCAGTTGGTAAGGCTCATTCTACTTACTTAGATGAGGTATATAGGAAACTTGGGACTAGAGAAGGAGAGAATGACATATATAAACTAGCTAAGATAAGAGAAAGGAAGTATCAGGACTTAAATCAAGTGAGGTGTGTTAAGGATGATACAGATCAGATTCCGACAAGAGATAAGACATTAAGGAAAGGTGGGGGAGTTACTTTGAGAAGTTTTATAATGATGATCATGCGATAGAGTTTGACAATCTTAAGTCACAAGGATAACCTAATGTGATGTATACAAGAGGAATCAGAATCTCGGAAGTTAAAACTGCACTACAGAAGATAAAAAAGGGGAAGGCATGTGGGCCAGATGATATTCCAATAGAGGTTTGGATGGCGTTAGGAGATGCTGGAATTTTGTGGCTTACTAAGCTTTTTAATGAGATACTAAAGAAGAAACATATGCCTGATGCATGGAGGAAAAGTATTTTTGTCACCATCTTTAAGAATAAAGGAGATGTGCTGAATTGTAACAATTATAGGGGCATAAAGTTAATAAGCTACACTATGAAATTTTGAGAGAGTTATCGAAAGGAGATTAAGGGCCACAACTACCATCTCAGGTAACCAATTTGGCTTCATGCCAGGCAGATCAACAACGAAAGCCATTTTTCTTCTTAGGATGCTGATGGAAAAGTACAGAAAAGCCAAGACGGACCTACATATGGTCTTTATAGATTTAGAAAAGGCATATAATAGGGTGCCGAAAGAAGTTTTATGGTGGGTGTTAGAAAAAAGAGGAGTGCATGTGAGGTATATTAAGGTAATTAAGGATATGTACGATGGGGTGGTCACGAGTGTGAGAACTGCTGGAGGCTACACGGTAGAGTTCCCCATTCGGATCGGCCTTCATCAAGGATTTGCTCTAAGTCCTTATCTTTTCACGATGATGAGCTGACAAGAGAAATCTAGGATAGAGTTCCTTGTGTATGTTTTTTGTGAATGATATAGTTTTAGTTGATGAACATAGGGAATGAGTTAACCGTAAGTTAGAATTGTGGAGACAGACTATCGGGACGAAAGGATTTAAGTTTAGTAGGATGAAAACTGAATACATGCATTGTAGGTTTAGTAACTCAAGTAATCAGAGTGATGAAATTTTTTTAGATGGTGTGGAGATTGGGGCTTCTAGGAAGTTTAGGTACCTTGGGTCTATAGTGCAATATGAAGGAGATATAGACGAGGATATTTAACATAGGATTAAGGTAGGGTGGGTTAAGTGGAAGAATGCTATGAGAGTTTTATGTGATGGCAAGATGTCTATTAAGTTGAAAGGAAAGTTCTATAGGACTGTAATCCGCCCAGCTATGTTATATGGTAGTGAATGTTGGGCCATTAAGAGACAACATGTATCTAAGATGAGTGTGGTAGAAATGTGTATGTTAAGATAGATGAGTAACCATATGAGAATGGATCGCATAAGGAATGAAGTTATTCGTAGTAAAGTAGGTGTAGCACCAATAGAAGATAAGGTGCGCGAAGGCCGTTTGAGGTGATACGGACATGTCTAACGTAGACCGCTAGAAGCACCAGTTCGTGTTTGGGTACCTAATACTAGGAGAGGGAGGGGTAGACCAAGAA